CATTTTATTGATTCCCCTTAGGGTTACAAGGCATTTTTGAAGGAACGTGCCCAAACCTCTTATAACACCTCTCTCTATAGGTATTCACTTCTCTATGTGGCAATCGAACGAAAAACCAACAATGTTTTGTTTGGTTTTGAACCCGGGTCTTAGGATTACCAGACCAGCGCACAATCCTCTGCGCCACGATCGCCACTCTATACATGGCAAGAAAGGTATGATTTACATTTACTCCGAGCAACACGACACATCCAAGCTTATTATTCGGCCCAACTGTCCAACTGTTGTACAAAAAAATGCTAATATTTGATAATACATGTTAATTTTTCTTTGCATATATCCAGCAAAGGACACAAAATTGATTCTGTGTGGGGTGGTGTAGAAAAAATAATTTATAAAAAAGATACGGAAATATCAACAGAGCATTGTATCGCTGTTATAATTATTGGTTTTATACAGACGTGGTCTGTGATTTTCAACTCCAAATACGACAAGGAAGAGCAGGTGCTTGCGAGAGCAAAATTATTTATAGACAAGGTGAAGTTAAAAAAACATTCTATAGGAATTATATTTACTACTACAAGAACACCGCACCACATTTTTACAAACATACTAGTAATGATCAGTCAATTCTTCCCCCATGTATCGTTTATGCAATTCTGAGGTATTAACGAGTTTGGAAAAAATACTAGTGACGATGTAAATGAAGAAAGTGAGTAATCTTTTTATTTTCTTCGTGAGAATATCGTTTCCTGATAGATGGATACATAGTTTTTCTGTTCTAGAAAACGACAAAGAGGAACCTAAATGTTGGAAAAAGGAAATTAAATCTTGGTATAATGAATACTCCACTGTGATTTTGATACTTACATATGACTGATATTTTGAGAAAAAAATATGCATGACTGCTGTGTGACACGAACATATTTTATCACTCGTGCACTGCTAGTTTTAGATCTTGTGTTCACCGATCTTACTCTTCACTAACGAAACATGAGAGCAATTATGTCCCGATGTTTACAGAATAATGATCATCGTAGAAATAAAAGTACAGAATTGGCCCTTATATTTACTGCTAGATGTAATCTGTGAACGCGTGTTTTATACGAGTCCTAAAATGATGTTAACGAAAAATAAATGATAACTAATTACAATGTACTAGATTTGTACTGCATATACGTTTTCCATTTACTCTCTTGTATCCATTACTTTTCTGAAGCGCTTGTTTTAACGTATCGAGCGAGCGATCATTCAGTGTGATCCGCATTGGTAAATACACGTGTATTAAAATGTAATGCAAGTAATGCAGATACTAACCATAAGTTGCGTTATGTCTTTTGTAATATTATCGGCCAATCGATTTTGTCAGAAAGTTTAACAGTTTATATTGACCGCATCTAGCAAAAGAAATCAGCTGTTGATTCTTT